GCTTTGTGTGTGGGGTGACCTCTTGTTTTCCAGATACTGATTAATACATAATAGAATCATTTGGGGGAAGCTTTTGGCTTTTTATTTTAATTTGTTTTAAGTAGGCTGCATGCCCAACGTGGGGCTCGATGAACACACGACCTTGAGATTAAGAGTCGTGTGCTCTACTGACTGAGCCAGCCAGGTGACCCTAAAGAGCTTTTTAAAGGCTTGATTCCTGGGAGCCCATCTGAGAATCTACTAAGTTGTGATTGGCGGGGCCAAAGGCTGGGCATTTGTATTTTTTCAGAGGTAGATGTTGGGAACTATAAGGTACAGTACGAAGGTGCTTTTCCCTGCGCACACTCTAGGTTGTGTCCCTCGGTGACTTCAGTGTGTGCTTTCTGGCTATTCATCACAGGGGGGAAAACCAGAGGTGGTTAGTCTGTTGTCAAGAGGTATCTCAGTGCAAAAAGGAGTTAGGGATTTTTTGTAATTACAGCTTTCTGGGACTGCTCTCTTAAGGAGACAGAAGGCAGACTTGAATGGAAAAGGAAGTGGAGCTAGAGGTTTTTAAAACAGATGCTTTCTCACTAGTGGGCTTCCAAGTGAGATCTAGTTTATCCTATGTGGAATACTGCACTGCTTTGATAACTTCGAGGGCTCAGAAGAGAGTTGAGTTCAGTTATATACCTGGTTTGGTATAAATGTGGCCTCAGATTTTTGTCTGAATCAAACCACAGGATGTAGAATTCTTTAATTCTCCTGGTTTTTCTTCCCCACACCTTTGCAGGCACTGTGTCGGGCAGAGGATGAAGAGGATATCCGTGCAGCCACCCAGGCCAAGGCCGAACAGGTGGCTGAGCTTGCAGAATTCAATGAGAATGATGGGTTTCCTGCTGGTGAGGGAGAGGAGGCCAGCCGGCCTGGGGCTGAGGATGAAGAGATGTCCCGAGCTGAGCAAGAAATCGCTGCCCTTGTAGAACAGGTCAGTGTTGGACCCACTAGTTCTCAACCTCACCCTTCACAGCTTCTTCCTCTGGGCCTTATGATCTTCCTCCTGTCTTCTCTGGTGAAAATAAGGATATTGGGCCCTGGTTACCAAGTCCCTATGTTGTTGATTACCACTGTTCCTTCCCACAGCTGACCCCCATTGAGCGCTACGCCATGAAATTCCTGGAAGCTTCACTGGAGGAGGTGAGCCGAGAGGAGCTCAAGCAAGCAGAAGTGAGTAGTTCTAGGAGGTGGGGATGGAAGTGAGAAGTGGCTGCTTTCTACCCACTCCCGACCCTGCTTGCCTCCCTCTGACCGCCCACCATTTGGGCTCTCTTGTTGGTAGGAACAAGTGGAAGCTGCCCGCAAGGATCTGGACCAAGCCAAGGAGGAGGTGTTCCGCCTACCCCAAGAGGAGGAGGAGGGGCCAGGGGCTGGGGATGAGGTTTCCTGTGGGACTGGTGGAGGCAGTCACCGGCGCAGTAAGAAGGCCAAGGCCCCTGAAAGGCCAGGGACTCGCGTCAGTGAGCGTCTTCGTGGAGCCCGGGCTGAGACTCAAGGGGCAAACCACACTCCTGTCACATCCACCCATCATACCCGCAGCACTTCCACAACCCCACGCTGCAGCCCTGCCAGGGAGAGAGTTCCCCGGCCAGCACCTAGGCCTCGACCCACTCCAGCTTCAGCTCCTGCTGTAATTCCTGCCCCAATCCCTGTTCCAATTCCTGCCCCGATCCCCATTTCAGCCCCAAATCCAATAACCATGCTTCCTGTTCATATCTTACCTTCTCCCCCACTGCCTCCTTCACAGATTCCTCCCTCTTGTTCTTCTGCCTGTACCCCTCCTCCTGCCTGTACCCCTCCACCAGCTCATACGCCACCTCCCACCCAAACTTCTCTCTCAACTCCTTCCTCCCCTCTCCTGCTTGGTCTACCTTCTGTGCCCGTCTCCCCCCCAGTCACCAACCTCTCCTTGGGCTTGGGGCCTGAGACAGAGCTGTGTGCACAGGCATTGGCATCTACCGAGTCCCCGGAGCTGGCTGATTTGGCCAGTTCCGAGACGTCCCCGCTTACTCTTGTGCCCCCTAAGGATCTGTTGCCAGTTGCTGTTGAGATCCTGCCTATATCAGAGAAGAACCTTTCTCTCGCCTCTTCTGCACCTAGCCCAACCCTGGAGGCTGACAGCGTCCCCAACGGTCAAGAGCAGGAAGTGCCAGAGCCTGCTGAGGGGACCGTCCTCACAGTGCTGCCTGACGGTGAGGAGGTGCCCTCGTGTCTGAGTGAGAGCAATGGGCTGGATCTCCCACCTTCAGGAGCATCTGATGAGCTACTTCCGGAGCCAGTGGAGGCTGACAAGAGCTCAGAAGAGCTGATGGAGGCCCAGACCCCAACCTCCAGCCCAGAGAAGCCACAGGAACTTGTTTCACCAGAGGTCGCAGCCCCATCAACCTCATCCTCTGCCACCTCCTCACCTGAGAGTCCTTCACCTGCCCGGCCCCCTCGGCGGCGAACCAGTGCCGATGTAGAAATTAGGGGTCAGGGGGCTGGTCGGCCAGGGCAGCCTCCAGGCCCCAAAGTGCTCCGCAAGCTGCCGGGACGGCTGGTGACCGTGGTTGAGGAGAAGGAATTGGTGAGGCGACGGCGACAGCAGCGGGGAACTGCCAGCACCCTAGTGCCTGGGGTGTCTGAGACTGGTGCCAGCCCGGGAAGCCCATCTGCCCGCAGCATGTCGGGGCCAGAATCCTCACCTCCCGCCGGTGGGCCCTGTGAAGCTGCTCCCCCATCCACACTGCCCACCCCAACCCAGCAGCCCTTCGTAGCTCGCCGTCGCGTTGAGCTGGGGGTGACTGGTGGGGGCAGCCCAGAGAATGGAGACGGGGCACTGCTTGCCATCACCCCTCCAGCTGTGAAACGTCGGAGGGGGAGGCCCCCCAAGAAGAACAGGTCTCCAGCAGATGTTGGGCGAGGGGTGGATGAGGTACCTTCATCCCCCTCTAAGGGAAAAACCAACGGGGCTGACCCAGTCCCTGGGGCTGAGACCCTTCTTGTGGCGGAGCCTGTCCTGGGACCCCAGCTTAGTCCTGGGCCCCAGCCTCTTGGAGCCCAGCCAGCTCACAGACCAGAACCCATCATCCTGTCACCTGTGGAGAAAAGAAGGCGTGGGCGGCCCCCTAAGGCACGAGATTTGCCCATTCCTGGGACCATTTCCTCTCCAGGGGATGGCAGCTTAGAGAGCCGGACACAGCCACTCCCGCTACCACCTCCCCTGCCACCACTCCCACCACTCCTAGCCTGTCCCACTGCTACTGTCGCCAACACTGTCACCAATCTCACCATTTCAACATCCCCACCCAAGCGGAAGCGGGGCCGACCTCCCAAGAATCCACCATCACCTCGGCCCAGCCAGCTCCCTGTCTTGGACCGTGACAGCTCTTCCGTCCTTGAGAGCTGTGGATTGGGGAGGCGGCGGCAACCCCAGGGCCAGGGGGAGAGTGAGGGCAGTTCCTCTGACGAGGACGGAAGCCGCCCCCTCACCCGCCTGGCCCGCTTGCGGCTTGAAGCGGAGGGAATGCGGGGACGAAAGAGCGAAGGGTCCATGGTGGTGGCTGTAATTCAGGATGACCTGGATTTAGCAGATAGTGGGCCAGGCGGGTTAGAATTGACACCTCCCGTGGTCTCGCTAGCTCCAAAACTGCGCTCCACCCGCCTGCGTCCAGGGTCTCTAGTCCCCCCACTAGAGACTGAGAAGGTGCCTCGCAAACGGGCAGGGGCCCCAGTTGGCGGGGCTCCTGGGCTGGCAAAGCGAGGCCGCCTACAGCCTCCAAGTCCCCTGGGACCTGAGGGTTCAGTAGAGGAGTCTGAGGCTGAAGCCTCAGGTGAGGAGGAGGAAGGGGATGGGACCCCACGACGCCGGCCTGGCCCCCGCCGACTTGGTGGGGCCACCAACCAAGGGGACCAGCGCATTCTGCGTAGCAGTGCCCCTCCCCATCTGGCTGGCCCTACCATTAGTCACAGAGGCCGCAAGGCCAAGACGTGAGTGGGCTGCCCCTCCACCTAGGCTTTCCGCCATGGCCCCTCTCCCTCCACAACCAGGCCTGACTCTGTTAACCACTACTTGAAGTCTTGAGGGGGAAAGCCTCCTGGGAGTCATAGGGGCCCTCTCCCTTCTTTCCACCAAAGTAGGGGGTAGGCAACTGGTTGTCATGGAAATGGGGCTCTTCACATACCCCCTTCCCTTCCACCCCACATGGCTGGGCAGTGTTAAGGGTGGCAAGATAGTCTCTGTCCCCACCCCCTTGTACTTGATTCCCCAGCTATCTTTCACAGCCCCCCACCCTTAGGGGAAGGGGGAGGGGCTTCTCTCTACCATGAGTTTTTTTTTTTTTTTCTTTTTTTTTTAAGAAGAAAAAATAATAAACTTAGTTTCTGTATGAGCATCCGCGTAAGGAGGCTTCTGATTTTCTGGTCTGGTGGAGGGTTGGGTGGGAACTTGGGCATCGTTTTCTTTCTCTCGTTCTTGCCAAAACCCTAGTACCTGATATCTAACCCAGAATTATGTGTCTTTGAGGCAGAAATCCCGCAAGAGGAGGAAAGATTGGCAAATCTGATCTGGTAGGGTGCCTTTCCCTAAATTTTCAGTTTTGAGTCACTCCAACTCATACTTTTTCTCTCCTATTCCCTTAGTTCCTGGACTTTCACTCAGAGCTCTCTGATGCCTCAGACTTTTCCCTGCTTTCACCCCTCTTGTTCAGGTGCTTTCACTCCTTTTCCAGAAGGCAGGCATCCTACCTTCAGTCGCTCCATTCCCCTCTCTTTGCTTTCCTCCATCTAGCCAAACTAGTTTGAGTCAGCCACACCCCTTTCTGAGCTCCTGGGGCCTTTTGGGTGGTGGCTGGCCACCCAACCCCACCCCCGGGCTTGGCTTGGAGACCTGAGTCAGCTCCATCTCCACCCAAGCCAAATCAAACCAGAGGCAGGAGCCGAAACTCGCAGTCCCTCGAGGCCCATAGCCAGGTAAGAGCCCCCGTTCGTTTTTTATATTTTCTTTGGTCTCAACTCCCTAAACCCTCTCCTTGCATTCTCCCCCTAATGACTGTGTCTATGTTCACCACATCATCAGTTCTTTCCTCATATCCCCTGTCCTGCAGCTTTGTGGCAGAGAGTCTTTGTGCTCTGCTTATCTTGCCTCCTGTCACTCTAACCGTTGTTGCTTGTGTTCAGAGAACTGCAAATGGCTCCATTTTGTATAGCATGTAGGGGGATGGTTGGAGATGAGGGTGGAAAGGTGGTTTGATGCCACAGCTCAGAGGAGCTGAGAAGTTAGGGAGATGGGAGATGATTAAGCAGGGCATCATTATGCAGGTTTCTGTGTGGGTTATGAGGTCATCATGTTACTCTGAATATATTGGGTGGCCTGGGTTAAAATGGAGAAAAGAGGTAGCAGGGAGTCAGCATAGCAAAGGAGGCCCAATTTGGGGAGGTATGGTTTTACTGATGTTCAGCTTCCTCAGCTAAGAAGAGAGCTTAGATGGGTCCTTTCCCTCTGCTTTCTCCCATCTCTGTGTTCTCATCCACTCTGTTTTCACATGAGACAGCTGCTGTGCTTGAAGTGGGGTAGCAGGGCTCAGGGTGCCATTTCCTGAGCCCTCCTTAATATTCACGAGCAGCTTTTGAGGGACTTCAGAGAATGTTAAGACCCTTTGAAATACAGTTTAAAATCACTGATTCGTGGAGTCTGATTCCTGCCAGCTTTTGAGATTCTGTGTTTCTCCTGCTTGTCAGTGTGCACCTGTCATTGTGTTTTTCCCTACTTGTCAAAACAGTTAAGTAATACAGATAATGCTACGTTTGTGCTGGCTTGCCTTCAAACACTCAGAATCTTAGGCTGAGAATAAAGGATTCCGGCCGAACATTTCCTCTCTCGGTCTGTGAGTCACGAGAGGAATTCCCCAGTAAGGCAGCATTCCTGAGAGTTGGGCTAGGTCACAAGGACACATCAGAGAGAGGGGCGGAGTCTGACTGACCCAGGCCAATGGCTCCGTTGTTGGGCTTACAAGTACCTTGACTGTCGCCCACAGGTGATGGAGGACGAGGAGAAGGCAGTGGACACCTTGGTGAGCAACACGGAAGCTGCTCACCCTGCATCCCCAGTCCGCTGCTGCCGGCTCCGCCTCCGCTGCTTGGCGGCTGCTAGCATTATCTGTGGCTGCTCTTGCCTGGGAGTCGTGGCCCTGGTGTTTGCCATCAAGGTGAGGAACGCGATTCCCGTGGGAGCAAAGGGGTGGCTGTAGTTAGGTGATGATTTAGTGTATTTGATCTATGTACACTGATCACACAGCTGCTAAGTACTTGTCACAGCTTGGCTCTGGGCCTGGTGTCAGAAATAAGACATGCTTCTGGCCCTCAGAGTGCCCACAGTCTAATGAAAGAGAGCACTGTGAACATGGGTAATTAATGCAATGTGGCTCATCAGTATTGTGATGGAGGAAACACAAGGTATTCTGGAAGCAAGGGAGGATATATATGTGTGATTACATACCTGTGTATGTAGAGTAGGTGACAGGAAAGTAACCTTAAAGGATGAGTGACTAAGGGTTGAAAGGGCATCCCAGGTAAAGGGAGCAGTGTGTACAAAGGCCTGGGCTCTTCGTTCCCCATGACTGGACCAGTGAGGAATGGTGACAGATGAAGCCAGAGGGCCCAGATTCCCAAGGGTCTCCCAATGCTGTGCTTCGAGTTTAAACTTTATCTTGAAAGTACTGGGCGGGGCCAGGGGGGGTGCACCTGGGTGGCTCAGTGGGTTAAGCCTCTGCCTTCGGCTCAGGTCATGATCTCAGGGTCCTGGGATCAAGCCCTGAATTGGGCTCTCTGCTCAGCGGGGAGCCTGTTTCCTCCTGCCTCTCTGCCTGCCTCTCTGCCTACTTATGATCTCTGTCAAATAAATAAATAAAATATTTTTAAAAAGAAAGTACTGGGGAGTACTTTAAAGAGTTTTTGCAGAGGAGAGTGACATGGTCAGGTTTGTGTTCTAAGGCCTACTTGGAGATTGGATTGGAAGGGGCAGGACTGGAGGCAGTTGAGCAGTGATTAGAGCAATCTATAGCAGTTGGGAAGAAGCTGTGGGGTTTTTGAGAGGGCTCCACCATTTCCAAACACCTGACTGAAACTGCATGTTTACCTTTTTTTTTTTTTTAAGATTTTATTTATTTATTTGACAGAGACAGCAAGAGAGGGAACACAAGCAGGGGGAGTGGGAGAGGGAGAAGCAGGCTTCCCACTGAGCAGGGAGCCCGAGGTGGGGCTGGATCCCAGGACTCTGGGATCATGACCTGAGCCAAAGGCAGGCGCTTAACGACTGAGCCATCCAGGCGCCCCCACATGCACCTTTTGAAAGGCCACACAGGCTAACTTAAATGTCACATGGGAATTTTCTCAATCCTGGTTTTATTTTAATAATCAGAAACTGTATTCTTAGGATCTTGAGACTTTCTGGCTTCATCAGATCAAAATCATAAAGAGAATTCTTAATAAAACGATGAGGCCCATTGGGCTAATGAGAAGGGGGTGGTGTTTGGCTGGATGGGAGGGAAAGACTCCAAGATATCTCTCGGTTTCTTGCCAAGGATTCCAAATTCTGAATGAATGTGGGATGAGTAGAAAAGGATTGGGGATAAAAGGTTTGAAAAGTACTTTCCCATGTGTGATCTTGTGAGCTAACAATGGCTACTTGGAAAAGTACACAGAGCTGAGTAGAAACCTTATTTTGTAGATGACGCATGAGAAATAGACATTGGAAAGGGAAAAGACATTTTATTTCAGGGGGTTTGGGTGTCAGGTTTTGAGCCATTACAAGGATGGAGGATTGGTGTGGGGCAGTGGGGCACTTTGGGGAAGAAGCAGGGGAAGAACCTAACCAAAAACCTGCCCCCGCAGGCGGAAGAGCGGCATAAGGCAGGCCGGTTCGAGGAGGCAGTGCACTGGGGGGCCCGGGCCCGGAACTTCATCCTGGCCAGCTTTGCCGTCTGGTTTGCTGTCCTCATTCTGGGCCCCCTGCTTCTGTGGCTGCTCTCCTATGCCATCGCCCAGGCTGAGTGACCCTGGGTGGCCTCTGCTGAGAGTCAGCAAGACCTCCTGGATCCTGCAGTGCGGCATTGCTAGATGAGGCCAGCAGTGGTCCTTCCTCGCTGGAAGGATGATGCCTCTCTCAAAAGGCTTTGGAAGAGCTCTTCTAGACCTTTCTAAAAGGGGCAGCAGCTAAAACTGTTGAGGGGAGGCCAGCCTGCTCTGTTCTTTCAGTGCCCACCATCCCCTATTTCCCCCAGCCTGCTACATCCTAGGTGCCTCGACCCAGAGGTGGGGTTGAAGACCAGGCCTGATTTTATTAGAGTTTGTTTTGTAATAAAAATCTTTTTTAGTGGTGAAATGCTCCTGTCTAATTGTTGTTCCCCTACTTCCCCTGGCCCTTGGCGAGAGCCAGACCGACATCTGACTGATGGCAAAAGTCTGCATTTTCCTTTACTTAGGAGCTGCAAGAGGGTTTTTCTTCTTTTTTCCTTCTTCTGGAAGTTTCCCTTCTTGGAAAGACCCCAGCTTCTCCCTTGCACATCAACAGAGAGCTCCTGTGGCCAGATAAGTTGAGGAGCAGCTGCTCCTGTATTTATGGAGTGCTTCCTATATGCCAAGCTGTGTTCTTAAGCACTTTCTGTTACTTAACTCCTTCACCCCTCACAGCCACTCAGTAAGAGTGTTTTCACTCTTTTCATTTTATAGTTGAGGAAGCTGGCACCCAAGGTCATACAGCTAGTGAGATTCTGAGCTGGCATTGAACTCAGAGGCTTTGGTTCTAGAGTTGAGAGAGGAATGAAAGGGATGGCGGCAGCAGGTGAATTTCTGCCCTGGATCTGAAACTCTGTAGGATTATCATGAATTTTTATATCCTTTATCTTGGGCCCTCCCGGTAATATTTTAAACACATTTTACACCTGATCTTAGCCAAAAGGCCGAGAAGCGATTAAACATATTTCAAATTGTGAAGCATATCATATATGTAGGAAAATATGCAAAAGGAATACATAGCTTTTAAGTTACACAAAGCCAACATCTGAAAACCATCATTCAGTCAAGAAATTGAACATTGAGAGCACTCCAAAGCCTCCTTTAGACCCTCCCAATCACTACTCCTTCCTTTCTTCCCACAGATACCTAGCATTCTGACTTCTAACAGTGGAGTTTAGTTTTGCCTGCATTTGAACACTATATAAATGGAGTCCTATGTATTCTTTTTAAGTTTGACTTCTATGACTTAATATTGTTGGTGAGATTCATCAATATTTGGTGTAGCTATAGTTGTCATCATACTGTAGAGTATTCCATTATATGACTTTGTTAACGGCTTAGCCATTATCTGTTGGTGAACTTTGGAGATGATTCCATTTGGGGGATATTATGAATCTTGGTACTATGGACATTCTTACACATGTCTCTTGGAGTACATGTGCCCTGGGAACTGAATTTTTGGGCTATTTCACCATAATTCAGAGACCAGCAGAGCACCTAAAGGAATTAAAGATATTTTTTGCACACTGAAGAGAGAGGTTTAAAGGGGAAGATGGTTGTCTTCAATGTTCCAAAGTGCTCCAGGAAAGAAAAGTGAAGAGTATCCATTGCTGGTCCCAGAGGTTAGAGTTACAACACTGGGTAGAAGCCATACCTAGGGCAGTGGCTCTCAATCAGCTTCATAGTAGAACCACTTGGGGAGCTTTAAAAAGTACTTATGCCTGGACTTCAGCCCTACAGATGTCGATGGAATCGGTGTAAAATGCTGCCTGCCTGGGCACATTTTAGAGAGATTTATTTATTTATTTATTTTTGGGTCTTGCTATTTTTAAACTCAATTTTGAAAAAATTTCAAACCTACTGAACAATAAAAGAATAGTACAATGAACTCATGTGTGCTCTTCACCTAGGTTTAAAATTTTTCACGTTTGTTTTACCATGTTTCACATTTACCACGTGTTTCACCACATTTGTTTTAAGGTTTTTCTAAATACACATATTGTTGGGGCGCCTGGGTGGCTCAGTGGGTTAAAGCCTCTGCCTTCGGCTCAGGTCATGATTCCAGGGTTCTGGGATCGAGCCCCGAATCGGGCTCTCTGCTCAGCAGGGAGCCTGCTCCCCACTCTCTCAGCCTGTCTCCTCTGCCTACTTGTGATCTCTGTCTGTCGAATAAATAAATAAAATATTTTAAAAAAATAAAAAAATAAATACACACGTTGTTATTGTGGAGCCATTTGAGAATAAGCGGAAGGCCCTTCATTCCTAAATTCTTTTTTTTTTTTAATTTTACTTATTTGACAGATCACAAGCAGGCAGAGAGAGAGGAAGGGAAGCAGGGTCCCTGCCAAGCAGAGAGCCCGACGCGGGGCTCGATCCCAGGACCCTGAGATCATGACCCGAGCCGAAGGCAGAGGCCTTAACCCACTGAGCCACCCAGGCGCCCCATTCCTAAATTCTTATTTACAGTTTTTAGTGTCAGTATGGTCTCAGATTGTTTTTTAGTTCAATTTGTTTTATCCATTACTGTCATCCTTCTTAAAATACTTGGTTGGGGTATAATTTACATGAAGTAAAGTGCACAGATCTTAAGTGTGTTGCTTGGTGAATGTTTCATATAAACCCATCTGTATAATCACCACCTAGATGAATAGAACATTTCTAGCACATTAGAAGGCTCCCTCGTGGCCCTCTCCGTCTCATTATTCTTTTTGTTTCTGATTTTGACCAGTGGAAATTGCATCAGCCTGGTTCTTTTGTCCTGATAAGTCCCCACATTTCTTCACTTGCTTTCTGGCACAAATTATTCCAGGCTTATCTTACATTTTCTCTGCTCCAGCCTGAGAATTGGTCATTTCTCCCAAGGAATCCTGGTTCCTTGAACTGGGGCCTGTCACGTTGAAATCAGTATCTAGACTAGTGGTGCTCATTCTCCTGAGATGTGACTGCTTCTAGGCCCTTTCAGAGGTTAAAGCTAGAAAATATCTATTTTTAAATCTATGTTTAAAATTATACCTCCAGGGGCGCCTGGGTGGCTCAGTGGGTTAAGCCTATGCCTTCAGCTCAGGTCATGATCCCAGGGTCCTGGGATCCAGCGGAGCATTGGGCTCTCCGCTCGGCAGGGAGCCTGCTTCCTCCTCGCTCTCTGCCTGCCTCTCTGCCTACTTGTGATCTCTGTCTGTCAAATAAATAAAATCTTTAAAAATAAATAAAATTATACCTCCAATTTCAATCAGTCATAAGATTCTTTCTCTCCTTTTCCCATCTCAAATTCCATAGTCCCGTATTAACCTTGGCTGCCAAATACATCAATATGTTTATTCATTTGCAAATATATATAAATATAAAAATATATTCACTTGCTCAATTTCTGAATAACCCTATTATAATAACAAACAATAAGCCTATTAAGTAAAGCTCAAGTTTTCTTTGCAATTATTTTGTCTTTAGATTGGTGGTATAAAGTCAAAGTACTCTGTTCAAAAGTTACTTGGATTCGTATATGGTTGTGATCCCAAAGTGACATTTCTAAGATAGTTGTTAGAAGTAAATGAATTCATTCTGTGCCTCTTTTGCTGGAACAGGATCTCCACAAGGGTAAGGACTCCCTCCGCCCCCCCCCTCCCCCCTCCCCCCCCCCCCCCCCCCCCCCCCTGATAGTTTAGCGTTTAGACGCTCGGCAAATATTTATTGAATGAGTAGGTGAATGCCAGGGTTGAGCTGTGCACTGAAAAGTCTTAAGAAGTAACTCGCTCCTGGCAATATCTCAACTCGCCAGGCTTAGAACAGAGTGTGATACTCCCCAAGGCTTATGGGAGGCGGTGGTAGAAGACTGGGAAAATGTACAACCCCAGACGGTGAGCATGAGAGCTTTGGAGGTATTCAAGAATCCGAGCGGCCGGAGGACTAAGAAGCCACTTCTGGTTGACGTGCCGTGGTTCGTCCAAGTCCACACCAGGTGGCAAGTTGGGGATCCAAGCTGCGAGCTCCGAGAGTTTTAAGAGCCGGAGGCGGCCCCTGAAAGCATACACTTTGGACCAGGCGGCCAATTTTAAAAAAAGCGGACTTGGACAGTGATGCTAGGAAGGGGATGAGGGAGCCATGCCCAAGTCAGCGAACGTGAGGCGCAGCAACTCCCGCGTCCGACACACCCAGAAGCCACGCCTTCCGGGTAAACCTAATTTCCGGGTCCCGTTCCGGGCCTCCAACCCCACTAGACAACAAGCACTCCGCCCCCGTCGTCCCTTGCAGATGCTGTGCGCTAATTGGCTGCATCTGAAGCTCCGCCCCAACATCTTTGCCTTTGGTAACTCCGAGCTCTAACGCCCGCGCCAACCTCGAGACTCTCCGCTTCCTATTGGACTGCAAATTTCCAATCGGAATTGTTTTTGAACCACAGTTTTCAAGCTCCGCTGGCCATTGGCGGACAGGATGGGGGCGTGGCTTGGGGTCGTTGCCGGCGCCGCCCGGGTGTAAGGTAAGGGGCGAGAAGCGAACCCCGCGATAGAGCGGCTTCGCGTCGACCCTGGCTTCTCTCTCCTTCCCCGCGGGTGAGCCTGCGCGAGACCCTGCGCCCCCTCCCAGTGCCCGCCCAAGTGCGCCTGCGCAGCAACAGCCACCTTCCAGTGTGCCCCTTCCCTTTTTCCTCCGCACCTTTTCCCTTCCCCTCCCCCGCCCCCCTCCCTGCCCTGACACCCCTCCCGCACCCTAGGCCCTTTCGTGGGGTCTCCCCAGCCCTGATCCTTCCCCCACCCCGTCCCCATCCCCGAAGATCCTGGCGCCCCAGCCGCAAGGGCTGCGCCTCCGCGAGCCGCGATGTGCGTCCTCCCAGAGCCTGTGGGCCTCACTGCCCTCACTGCCTTCCGTTTCCCCCACACAGGCCCCCACCACCTTCAGAATGACACTGGACGTGGGGCCGGAGGATGAGCTGCCCGACTGGGCCGCGGCCAAGGAGTTTTACCAGAAGTACGACCCTAAGGACGTCATTGGCAGGTGAGGTTTAAGCCAGGGAAACAGAGGTCCGGAGAGGTCGGGCCCTGGCCAGAGCACACGGTTCCATCTGAGGGCTGGATAAATTTTTTTTGTTGTTAGATTATTTATTTATTTATTTGACAGAGAGAGAGAGAGATCACAAGTAGGCGGGGGTGGGGGTGGGGGGAAGCAGGCTCCCCGCCAAGCGGAGAGCCCGATGCGGGACTCCATCTTCGGACCCTGAGTTCATGACCTGAGCCTAAGGCAGAGGCTTAACCCACTGAGCTACCCAGGCGCCCCTGGATAGTTCTAAATGGGAACGAACAGTGGTTAGTGGAGGACCATTTGGGGACTTAAGTCTTTGTCTGGGTCAATCCCCATTTCTTTCACATTCACTCATTTATGTGTTCAACAGACGTAGATAAAGCAACGGAGGTCTGCCAGACACAAAGCTAAACACAGGGAGCATAGAAGAGATTTATGCCTTGGAGAAGAAGTAACTGAAAGAGACACATGAGCATTCAAGTGGTATCAGGTTGTGGGATGGGGCTCAAAACCACAGCTTTCCACAAGGGGTGATCTTTGGGTCTTGAAGGATGAGTAGTGGTGAGCGTGCAGAAAATAGAAGGAAGGCCTCACCTGTAGAGACAGTGGCAGGTACACTTACTCATCCAAGGTTTCCTAAGCACGTACAGTGTGCTAGGCACACTGTGTGAGGCACTGGGGATACAAGTATCACATGTTTTCTGTTCTCCTGGAGTTTGTATTCCAGTGGTAGGGAGAGACAGTAAACACAAAAACAAGACAATAGTCATCATCTGCTCAGGTGAGGGGATGAGAGTAATTAACGACGCTGATGCTTGAAGGATGGGCATGAACAGGAGGATATATTTGGGGCAGAGGGAACAGCACATACAAAGGCACAGGCAAGAAAAGGCCTATTCTAAAGCAATAGGCAGACGATCATGGTGACTGGGATGTAGTAAGTGGGACAAGGTGGAGGAGATGAAGTTGGAGAGGTAAAGAGAGGCCTTATGCCATGATAAAGAATTTCGATTTTATTCTAGTGAAACTGATGGTTTCAAACAGGGTAGTTAAATTAACATGGTCTCATTTATATTTCTGTGATCTGGGGGCTAGGAACTCAGCCTTTCTGTGCCTCAGTTTTGCCATTTAGATTGGGAATAAAAATAGACCCTACCTTGTAGGTTGCTGTGAGGATGGGAAGAATTAATATGATAGTCTTAGAACACTTCTGGCACATAGTAAGTGCTCAACATGAGTATGTTACTACATTTAAAAAAGATCATTCTGACTCTTGTGTATAAAATGGATAGGAGGGGGACAAGAATGGATGTATGGAGACCAGTTAGGAAGCTGTTGATTGATTCAGGCAAGAGATGGTGGTGGTTTAGATTTGAATGGTGGTGGTAGAGATGGGGAGAAGTGTGTCGCGGCCGGCGCGACAAATTGACCAGGGTCAGAGGGTAAGAGGATGCTGAAAAGAAATTAAGAGACAAAGATGGGGGCAGGAGGAGCACCAAGGAGGATGTCCAATAGTGCCAAGTTTATTCAAGGCAGCAAGGCATTATATAGCTAACAGAAACAATCATAAGAAAATATCTATTTTTAGTTTATTACTAAAGAGTTTGCAACATGCACAGAAAATCCCTTCAAGCTTTCCCATTATCTGTTTCCCAAGCACCAGTAGCAGACCCTCTAGCGCCAGATACTAACTTCAAGGCTACTCAAGACATAGTTTATGTAAGCACAGCACAGTCTTACAATGGTGTAGTTTATAGCCCATGCAAGGACAGCAAGGACCAGCCAAGAATTTCTGACCCCGACCAAATCGTCTCTGACTAGCAAACATGTGGGAAGTCACGTAGGCGAGCGCACAACACATAGCACAGACCCTTTCTCAGGGCTACTCGACTTTATCGACCTAAGCCTTTTGCTCGGCTATTCAGCCTTTAAAGGAGGCACAAGTCAGGGCCTGGTTTGGTTCTCGTCTCAAGCCTTATCGTGGCCTCCCACAGAAGTGGGTAGATTGAGGTGATGATTTGAAGAGAGACTGATACAGTTTCCTGAGAGACCAGATATGGGCCATAAGAAGAAGAAAAGGAAATAGGAATAATGTCTAAGGTTTGGGTTTGAGTGCCTGAGTACCATTTTCTGAAATGAGGAAGGCCAAGAAGGATCGGATTGCCGGGAGGGCCGAGCAAGTCAAGAGTTCAGCTTTGGAAATGTGAAGTTTGAGATATCCAGCTGGAGCTGTCAAGTGGGTACATGTCCCTGCAGCTCGAGACAGAGCTGTGATAGAGCAATCAGTTGGGGAGGCAGTAGCATATGCATAGTAGCTGGCGAGAAAATATATGGAAAGAAGTGAAAGGGGCCAAGCTCAGGCCCTGGGGCATGTCACTTAAGGAGTTAGAAAAGGAGGAGTCAGCAAGGGAGACTAAGGAGATAGCATCTTTGAGTTAGAAATAAAAACAGGAAAATAATGTGCTTCTAGAAAGCTGGCATGGTCTGCCGTGATCAGTGCTTCTGAAGCCAGGAAAGCAGAAAGGGCTATTAGATTTGTTCAGACTCCTTTCAGATATCACATGCAGATGTTAAAGAGGCCTTTGGGATCAGGAATTCTGGAAAGGAATCAAAACTTGAGGCAGTGCAGTGGGAGCCATTTGCACAACTGGTACTTAAATCGCCCAGGACAGGATGGTCATCAGGGGGAAAGGGTATCTGGAAAAGAAGAGAGCTGACATCCAAGTCCTAAACTGGTGCGGGGTTTCAGGACCAGGTAAAGGAGGATTCACTGAGGCTAGGAGAGCCCTTAGGGAAGAACAATGGTTCCACTGCTATGGGGTGCAGAGAGATCAGTTTCGGAGAAAGCAGGTCAGGGAATAGGGTTCGTTAGCCTCTCATTCCAGCATTACTGTAGCAGCAGCATCCCTGGTCTCTGTCTTTTCCCTGTGTTTCTCCTGCACAGTAAATTACCTGTACACTCTCACTAAATGAGTTCCCAGAGTGCCAGTTTCTTCATGTATGAAATCTTCATGTCTGAAGTCTTCATGTCTGAAGCTTTAAAAGAGCTTGATGCATTCTAGAAATTGGTGATAAGTTCTAAGTCACTGAAGCAAAGATTGAATAGCAGGGACATAGCCAAAAATGAGGCTGCAAAGAAACTGAGACCATTTGGTGAAGGCCTTGAATGACAGGCGAAGGAACTGGGATTTTACTTCTATCTTGCAGGTAATAGGGAGGCAGTATGGAGAGAATACAGTGTTGAGTGTCCTCCATAGTTAACTGTATAAGGTTGAAATTATTAGGGCTCACTTAAAAAGAGCACAGTTGCTCTAGGGGTCCCGCTGAGGAATGAGGGTATGCTTAGAGCTTAGTTGAGAATTTAAGCTGGAAAGGTTTTAAGCAGGAATGACATAACTGGGGCGGTCATTCTGGAAGCAGTGTGGTGGATGGGTTGCGTGGCCGAGGTTGGCAGCGGGGAGATTAGTGAGGAGGCCGTTATGGCTATGGGGGTGGAGTACTAGGAAGCAGATTTGAGAAACACACCAGAGGGAGTGGACTGGTTGGATGTGGTAGATTGTGAAAGAAAGGGGAATACCAAGAACTCTACTAAGATTTCTAGTTCGGGAGTCTGATTGAATGGCATTACTGTTAATGGGGGAATTAAAACTGTCAAGTGGCAAAGAATAAGATAGTAAGAAGTGGTGAGCACTGTAGCAGCTAGAAGGTTCTTGTCCCACTTAAGACGGGAATTCAGATTTGAAAAGAACAGCTCACTGACCAAACATAACACATCTGTGGGCTGTGTTTGGCTGGAGGGTCAGTGGTTTAGATCTCTTGATGGAAATAGAGATGTGGGTGACAGGCATTCTAAGCAAAAGGAATTATGTAAGAACAAAGGAAGCCGTGAAGGGCAGCCAGGGCACGAGCACAGGAAATGTGGTGTGAGGTCCGATCTTAGAGAGATTCATACTTAGCCTGAGGTACTTGTAGGATCGTAAGGAATTGGCGACAGATTCCAAGCCAGGAAATACATGTCTAGGACTTTCTCTTCACCATGCCAAATGGATTTTTCTTCTTCTACCTCATGGCATTTGACACCTCTTCAAGTTGACGTTGTCCACACTTCAGAGCCCGCAAAGTGGAAGTCCAGAGACCTGATGTCACTGGGTCACTTGGAGGTTAGTTAGTGGCACATTTGGGACCTACACCAAGGTCTCCTGATTCACAACTTTGTTCTCCAGTCAATGGTCTGCTGTTTATTTGGAACCTCTTAAACTTGAGGTATTGTAGGAGAACTTTGGGATTTGGAAGGGGTAATCAAGGGAAGTGTGAGTAAAATTTGGAGGGAGCCTTAGATCATTTCTTCTTGCTTTCTCCTTGTGGGGTTCCAGGAGAAGCGGCAGGTTCTGGGGCGCAGTGTGGAAAGGACCTCCCTAAGCTTCTCCATGCAGGGAGTGGCTGAGGCTGGATTCGAACCCAGTACCCCACCTGCCTTCCCTGTGAGCATCTTGCTGGGTACTCACATGGCTTGCTGAGGCTACTGTGAAGCTGCCGTAGGCCAGGGTGAGCTGCGGCAGGCTGCCTTATTGTCCAGATGGGGCTTCAGAATACGGTGCAGTGGGTACAAGGATGGCGAGGCTCCACTCTGTGTGGAAATGAGAGAGCAGGAGGCCCTGACGCGTGTGCGGTCTGACTCTGGCAGAGGAGTGAGCTCCGTGGTGCGCCGTTGTGTTCATCGAGCCACTGGCCACGAGTTTGCGGTGAAGATCATGGAGGTGACAGCTGAGCGGCTGAGTCCTGAACAGCTAGAGGAGGTGCGAGAAGCCACGCGGCGAGAGACGCAGATCCTTCGCCAGGTCGCCGGCCACCCCCACATCAGTGAGGCTGCGTTCCCCGCTCCCATTAGCCGACAGCCACCTCCTGCCGGCCCTGCCCACAGCCCATTCCCCCCAGCACTGCCTCCACACCTCTGCTCCCTTCATCATGGCTCTGCTCCACCTCACAGTGTGGCCAGCCTTTGGGTCCCTACTGCCTCCTTTTGGTTCTCCTTCCTTCCCAATAACAGCCCACTGCCACCTCGGGGTGGAACGCCCCTTTAACTTGCACCTGCTCCTTTCCATCTCCGTATCTCTGCCTTTCTGCCTCTTTCCCAGTCACTCTCATCGATTCCTACGAGTCTTCTAGCTTCATGTTCCTGGTGTTTGACCTGTGAGTATCTCCCTGCCCTGATCTAAGAAGCATCCTCCTCCCCTCCATGCATGGCCCCAGCCTGACAACACAGTGGGCTGAGATTACCCTGCTCACACCTTCCCATGGGCCCGTGGCCCGGGCCCCTCTCCCTGGGTGCCCTGAGGAGGCGAGTTCTTCCAGAGTGCTCATGACCAGCCAGTTAAAAAGGGTTTCCGTGACCCCCGGGCGCATTGTCCCAGTCCCCCATGGTTATAAGATCAGCAGGGAAGACTGAAGAGCTGAACGCTTCTTGACAGATTCTTGCTCCCCTGTCCCTTGCTGTGAACACCCTACTTGGTGTTTGTCTCTGCCCATTGGTTCATTTCCTGGGCAGTCTGAATCCACGTGTGAGATGTTCTACAATATAGTGTAAACCAGTGCAAAGGCATTTCAGAAGAGTGGTTTGAATAGCAAGTAATTAAGAGAGACCCCTGGAAAAACTTCACGAAGTCTTCCTACAGAAATGACCCTCTGCAAAAGGGGCGGGGGAGGTAGGAAGCGTCTGTCCCCTCACCATGCAGCCTTGCAGAACAGGTGCATGCCCCCAGGCAACCCCTGACTTCGAGGGTCGATGCAGAGTTGCAGTTAGAAACTTGGTTTTTGAAAGACAAGATAAAAATAAGATCCTGCCCATCTTTTTTGCCATTATTACCTGTGAAGTTTTGGTCCATGATCTAAATAGATTCATTTTAGAGGGTCCTCTTTGAATATAATGAGGACCTCCCGGAAATTGCGGCTGCAAGAAGGTTCTTACTCTTGCTAGCACAGCAGCCATGGCATGGCGCATGTATTTTGACTGGCAACCCCTGGGCCAAACTGCCACTGGCATCCAGTTCACTCTTGGGGCACTCTGATCGCTCAAAAAAAAAAAAACCAAAGAGGACTATCTCTCCCCTGGCCTCTCCCATGGTATTTTCTATGAGCACTGGCTTATTTTTCCCAGTCCCCATGTAAGGTACACCTACCTCCCAACCCCTCCTGTCCCTTAGGATGCGGAAGGGAGAGCTGTTTGACTATCTCACAGAGAAGGTGGCCCTCTCCGAAAAGGAAACCAGGTAATGACTGAGCCTTTGGCCCATGGGGTGACCAGGGGGCAGGGCGGGGTAGGGAGAAGCAGATGAGGAGACTGTGCCTTCCCCAGGTCCATCATGAGATCTCTGCTGGAAGCAGTGAGCTTTCTCCACGCCAACAACATTGTGCACCGAGACCTGAAGCCCGAGAATATTCTCCTAGATGACAATATGCAGATCCGACTTTCAGATTTTGGGTTCTCCTGCCACTTGGAACCTGGCGAGAAGCTCCGAGGTGAGGGGGCCTGGTGCCCTAAGAGGCTTGGGAGGGAAGGGGACCCAGGCCTGAGGCTGGTTAGCTGGGTCTGACAACCGAGTACCCAGGTATCAAGAAAAAGGGAGAAGTCAGTGAGCACTTGCCAAGTACCTTCTGTGTGCAAAGCCTCGTGTGCATCTGAGTGGGCTTCCCGGTCTGCGTGGGGGAGGGGACAGACAGGTGTGCCAGGCAAGGGACCATGCAGGGGAAGCCAGGATGGAGGAGCACCTGATTCAGCTGGAGGGACCTACGGAAGGAGGGGTCTCCAGAGCTGGGCCTGTCCCGAGGAAGAAGGCGGTGGAGGGGTGGGGGTGGATAACAGGCCTCAGCTGCATGTTTGGGTTTTGGTACAGATAGGATGGCAGTGTGCTGCTTAGGTGCTAGGAAGAGCCCCATGTGGCCAGACTGTGCTGCTCCGCTGGTGTACTGGGACTCACCCTGTGTGACACCATTGTGTCACCATTGTGACAGAGATATTTTTAGTGCAAATGGAAGACTTCACAAAGTCTGACTGTGGACTCCTTAGAGCTATTAACATTGTACTTTCTGTCCCTCATTGGCTTGGTGCTGTGCTATTAACAGCTGACATTCATTGGCACTGCACTAAGTCTTTATATGGCTGGGTTCTCTAGATCCTCTTGACCCCTCTTTGAGATAGTGTCTGGATCACCATTTGATAAATGGGCTTAAAGAGGTGAGGGGACTTGCCCACAGTCAGGTAGCTGGGACTTGAACTTGAACAGTCTGACTCCAGAGCTCATGTTCATAACCTATGGACTTAACATGTTTGTCTTGCGGATGCTGTGCTTTGTTTCCCTTTGGGCTTCCCCATACACTTTTTCCCATTCTGGAACCATCTTTGCTCCTCCCCCACACCACTCTTGCCCTTGGCTTTAGGAACTCAGGTTTCCCTTTAAAGCTCCAGGTTTAGATCCCCTGCTTTATCTTCTACTTCTCCCTTCAGGACACACCTCTTACTCTATTATTTCTTGTTTGCTTTCGGATAGACAGCTTGGTAAGGGCACATCTAATTTCACCAGTGTCTAGTATGGTGCCTGGTACATGGTGGGCATTCTTCAATACTTTTGGTGGGAATGAATTGCCCAGAAGAGTCAGGTCTATTAAGCTCTCCTGGAAGTATGGCACAGAACACAGTTGGGCAGTTGCCAAGATGGAAGATTTGGTGCCTGAAGCAGAAGCAGCTACATATAACAGGCTTGGATCAAGTCGTGGAGGGCTCTGTGTTGGAGGAGTCTAGACTTGAGCCCAAGGCCATATGGGATGGGGAGGGGAGACAGCCAGGGAAGGATTTTAAATGAGAGACTTACCTAGTGTGTGCCTTAAGAAATCCCATAGGCCCACTTGTTCTCCTTGGGTTTGAGTGCTGATTCCACTATACAGAATAGCGATCATAGGTGGAGGAATCAATTTGGGCAGAAAGGAACATAGAAAAGAGTGAAGATTTGTTTTCCGTGTGTATTATGTATGTAAAAACGTGATAAAAGGCTGTGTAAGGGGTGGGTGGGTGGGATGGAGGTGCCAAAAGATACGGTGACTGCAGTCAGTCCAAAAATCAGATTTTCCCAGGAATACCACAAGGAACCTTGGTGGTTACTTGAGCTGTTCAGCAGGGATGGGGCCGGGTGAGCCCTCAGCGGAGGGTGGGCAGGAGCAGAATGGGAACCCTTTCAGCCCTGGCAGTGTGGGGGCTCAAGCAGAGGTCTGGAGTTAGGGACCCTTGAAGGAGCTGGTGGCATCCGTCAATCTCAGCCTTCTCTCCCCAGAGTTGTGTGGGACCCCAGGGTACCTAGCACCAGAGATCCTTAAATGCTCCATGGATGAGACCCACCCTGGCTACGGCAAGGAGGTCGACCTGTGAGTTTCCGGTCTCCCCGCCTCCCCGCTCCTCTGTGTCCCATCGTTCACACGCCTGCCTGGCGCCTCGTTCTGCCTGACTCCGCTCTCTCCCCCAGCTGGGCCTGCGGCGTGATCTTGTTCACACTCCTGGCTGGCTCACCACCATTCTGGCACCGCCGCCAGATCCTGATGTTACGCATGATCATGGAAGGCCGGTACCAGTTCAGCTCGCCCGAGTGGGATGACCGTTCCAACACGGTCAAAGACCTGGTGAGCCAAGGCTGTGAGTGGGCTGGGGAGGAGGCCCAAGCACTGCCTCTCACGCTCTGGGGTTCCCCCTAGATCTCCAGGCTGCTCCAGGTGGACCCTGAGGAGCGCCTGACAGCGGACCAGGCCCTGCAGCACCCGTTCTTTGAGCGCTGTGAAGGCAGCCAGCCCTGGAACCTCACGCCCCGCCAGCGGTTCCGGGTAAGCCTGCGAGCTGCGGGGTTGTGCCTGCTCCTCTGTGCCGTGATCTTTCTCCTATGGTGGCTACTGCACTGGAGCTCACACGGCCCCCCCCGCCTCCCCACCAGGTGGCAGTGTGGACTGTGCTTGCTGCGGGACGCGTGGCCTTAAGCACCCAGCGTGTCCGGCCATTGACCAAGAGCGCACTGCTGAGGGACCCTTACGCCCTGCGGCCCGTGCGGCGCCTCATCGACAGCTGTGCCTTCCGGCTCTATGGGCACTGGGTGAAGAAGGGAGAGCAACAGAATCGTGCCGCCCTCTTCCAGCACCAGCCCCCCGGGCCTTTTCCCATCACGGGCCCTGAAGAGGAGGGGGACTCCGCTGCTATCCCCGAGGAGGACGCTGTGCTGGCGCTGGGCTAGCACTTTGGCCCCGGGGACCCCAGAGTGTAGGACTCTCCAGGAGGAGGATTTTTATCATTCCAGCCCTTCTGGGCTTTGGCCTCGGGCCTTGCCCCTCAGGCTGGCCAGGCCCACCACTGCTTATACTACCATGAAGAACAGCCATGTACCCCTGCCCCCACCAGCCAGGGCTTTGGGGTCGGAGCAGAGGGGGAAGGCAGCCACTCGCAACACCACGCCTGGCCTCATCTGTGCTGCTTCTGCCGCATTTGCAATAAAATCTGCACGCCAGAGGGAGCCGGTGCCCAGTGTCTGGTGTCCGGCTTTGGCACGGGAGCCCAGAAGGTGCTCGGGAGCAGGGCGGGGATGGGGCTGCCGTGCCCTGGGCCTTTATTGGGGAAAATGCTGGGGGTCACTTGGTCTTGTTCTTGCCTTTGCCAGAAGGTGGCTGGAAGGGCCGCTCTAGGGTGGTCAGCTTGCTGCTAAGCCGTTCCTCGCTGGCCTGGAGCTGCTCCTCCATCAGCTGTTGGAGCTGCCTCAGCTCCTTGTTCATCTGGGTCCTGATGTAGGCTTGCAGGCTGGCGACCTGGCCTGCCGGGACAGGGAAGAAGGGGCAGGTCAGCAGAGATGCTGTGCCGCTGCACCAGTGGCAGTGTAGCTTTATTTGAGGGAAAGCCAGCTATAACCCTTCCGCGGAGAGAGGTGGGGGAGCTGGCCACCTGGATCCTCTGGATTGCTGATCAGCAGATAGCTCCTGCCTCAACCCCAGCAGCTGCACTCTTATTACCTGTTTGTCACCTTGGACTTCTGCATAAGGAACCATTTGGAGAAAGGACACTGTGCCTAAAACAGACCTGAAGTCCTGATGTGATCTAAACCCTTCATTTTATACCTGCCCAAAGTCACGGGGGACCCTAACCCATCCTCACTTGGCTCTGGCTCCGGCTCTGGCTGGACCCCTGTTTCTGGTTCCTCTTGTGGGCTGATGCCCTGCTCCACCTCCTCGCCGCCTTTCTCTGCAGGCCAGAAGCAGGAAGAGCCTTCAGCCCCAGCCCCAGCCCCAACCCCAGCCCCAGCATTCTTCCTTACCTGTTTCCTCCTCTGGCAAGAGCTTGGGGGGGCTGTAGCCCCATGTAAGTCAAAGACAGATCCAGTCGCACCTGGGAAGGAGGAGGAGAGAGGCTGAGAGGAGGACATCTGCACTGAGTGAAAGGGGGAGGCGAAGGGCGGCCTCCGTACCTGGGGCGTGAAGACATATTTGTAGAGCTTAAAGTGGCGAAAGTAGGTGTTGACCACATAATCTGCCAGGGCCAGCAGCTGTTCCTCCCTAAAGAGGTTGATACTGAAGGGGGGCCGCTGTGGGGATGATTGGGAGTGAGAGGACTGACCACCTCCAGGAACCCTGACATTTTCTCCAGGTGCCCAGCCCTGGAGGAGCAGGGAGAGCCCCCTGCAGCCTTCAGAGGAAGATGAGGGTGATGAGTGTGCGAGAGGACAGGAGACTGGGCTAGACCTTATCTGTGGGAGACCGAAGATCTCGTTTCAGGGGAACTGACCCTGACTCCATGGCAAAAAAGGACACTGATGAAGTAGCGGTAACATTCCTCCACGTTACCCAAGGGGGTTGCTGGGAGAGAAAACAAGATGTAACAAGTGAGTCCCCTCCCAGATAGTCATTCATTTCACTCACTCACCAGCTACCTTACTGAGCATGAGCTTTGGAAGTGAACAGCTCTAAGGTTAAGTCCTTGTTTCATTAACTCACTCAACAGCACCCACAATGCACTGTTCCAGGCACTGAACAAGACAGACGAAATCCTGCCCTTAAGTAACATACAATAAAACAAAAACTATGGCATTTCAGCTCTTGTTAAACATCCCACAGGATATCAGTTCCCGGAATAAAGTGGGAGGTGAGGGAGGAGCTATTTACTAAGCATTGTCTCTATATTTGTGTATACACAATACAAATATATTGTGTATACCTATAATACACAAATTATAGGTAATACTACCTACAGTATTCCTCAGAACAGTCTCATAAAGTTGGTGCTATCTATAAGGAAATGGATGGTTTCAAAGCTGAAATAACTTGTGCGTGATAATGCTGCTTGTAATGACAGAACAAAGATTCCAGGTGGTAATCCACTGCTGCTTCCCGTGGTCCCTTGTGCCATCCCCGCCTCCACTGTCCCCTGGGCTCAAACCCTTTGGTAGCTGCCTCCTCTCACCAACACAGGCCTTATGAAGATCTTGGAGCAGGGCACAAGCTGTCGATGTCTGTTCCAGTGAGAAGCCCTGCTGACGGCAGAAGATGAGTGCGTGGGAGAAGAGGTCTAGGGTGATGGCCTCCTTCAGGCTTTGCTCAGGACAGCTTAGCCCCAAGAGCTCAGCTAGCACCCTTGGGAGGGAGACAGGAAGGAAGAACTGAGCAGCCCCTTCACCACCCCACACTGGTGCACCATGTATTCTGGAGCTGAGCACCCATGCCTTCCCAGCACAGCCCTCTTAGCCTTCCCCAGGAGCCAGCTCTTCTGCTCTTCCCTGTCCCATCCCCATACTCCCTCATCTCCTCAGTGTTGGCTGTCTTCTCCAGCCTGTGCATGGAATGGATATCCAGGTACTTCCTGTCGTAAGACAAGAGGAGAATAGGTGTTGGTGGCCATCAGGCATTAGTCTCATGACAGGGCTGCGATGGCTAGAGCATTGGACTGGGAACCAGGAGACCTCAGCTTGAGGGTTTGCCCTTCTACTACCCTCAATGGGCAAGTCACTTCCTCTCTGGTTGTAACTTTCTCCATCTGTAAATGAGGGATATGGTGTAAAGGAACTCTTAGGATTCTCTTCATTTATAAAGCTGAGGATTAGGTAACGAGTTCTTGTCTCTGCCACTCCCTACGGCGTCAGTGTCTCTGTTTATACAATGCTCCGTAGCAGTCGGTATTGCATTTACATCTGTAGTCTTCTTCCCACCCTCCCTCTTTGGACTGAGGAGGCAGGAAGGCTGGAGATCTAGTCATCTTGGATAATTGTAGTTTCCTCATCTATCAAACGGGGAATGCCCCAGCTGTCTGACAGGACTGTTGGGGAGGAATAATGCAAGCGTAAAGTGTAGCTTTTCCCCAAGATTCTTCACACTCACCACATGCAGATCCGGGGTTGGGGCAACGGGGGCTGCGGAGAGAAAACGGATTGGGCAGGCGGAGCTTTGCCGTCCCTGGCCCCAGTCCCTGACCCATCTGGAATCTCCAGCGGGCCTAAGAACCTGCTAACTTGCCTTCTCATTTTAAGGATTGTGTACGAGCAACGCTGGCAGGCCAGGCTTCGGTAGGCCCTAAGTACTATTCATGAACATTAAACAATCGGAGTCACGCACCCCTGCCTCTTCACCAAGGCACCCAAAAAACGTCTGGAACGTTATAAACATAACGACGGGTGACGCCCTGCCCGGGAGCCCTTTTACAAGCATTCGTGAGCGGACCACTCTGTCCCGCCCTCACCGGGAACAAGTTGGCTGCAGGATCCTCATCCGCTTCTACCGAGGCCGTGGTTCTGGACTCGGTCCGCACACCTGTTACCATCCGCGTGACGGACCCATCCACTGAGCTGAGGTCTTTCTGGGGTTCCCGCTGCAGCTCTGAGGGCTGTTCACGCTCCGGCTGTATCTTCAGGACCGTGAATTGGCTGGACTTCTGGCGGATCATCCCGTCGCTCTTCCTAGGCGCGGGTCACCACAGGCTGTGTCCCGCCCAGGTCCTGGGAACGCCGGTTCTCGGGCAGTGATTGTCAAGTCCTCCCTCCAGCGACGCCTCAGCCAATCTACGCCGCAGAGAGGCCGGGTGCGGCCAATCCGCAGGGAGCGTCTCCCTCCGTCTCAACGGCGACCGTTGCTAAGGGATTTCGTGGAGGGGAAGCGAGTGTAGGACGCTCACCAATCAGTGAGAAGAGAAGGCGCATGCGCAATAAGTTTCAAGCTCCGCCCCCGTGCCCTCGCTTCAAAGTGGCTAACAGGAGGTAGGCGATACCCTTAGGGCTGGAGGATGTGAGTGTGGTGTCAGTTGCCACGGGAACTGTCTGCTGGCCAATCACCGGTAGAAAGAGGAGTTGTTCAGGAAGAGACCAAACCGGACCCGAGAGGCGGGACAAAGCGCGACCAATAGAAACAGGAAATGAAGTTTCGCCACATCCGGCATTGCCTGCGGCGCTTGCGCTGTGGGCTGAGGAGGCCGGTGACGTCCGGTGAAGTCCAAGATGGCGCTAGGCTGAGTCCGCCGCGGGTGAGGGTCCCGGGCAGGTGGGGGCGGGATCCAGCAGGTGTGTGCGGGGAAGGCTTGGGGCTGCGGAGCACTGGCCGCCTCTCCACCTCTGCACTCTGTCTTCTACAGGTGACGGAAGTGCCGCCTACGCCCTCCTGACGTCCCTCGGGAGACCCTGCGCCGCTCCTCGCAGCCGCGGCCATGTCTGGACCCGGCAACAAACGCGCCGCCGGCGACGGCGGCTCGGGGCCCCCAGAGAAGAAGCTGAGCCGCGAGGAGAAGACCACCACCACGCTTATAGAGCCCATTCGTCTTGGGGGCATCTCTTCCACGGTTCGTGGGCCTCTACCCCAGTACTCACAACTTGCCAGACTCCCATCTCTTCGCCGGAATCATCCAGAGCCTTTACTGCCTGTTCCCCCAAGCTTAGCGGGATCCACTTTACAGAACACTCTGTTGAAAGAAACCGAGGACATGACGTCTGCCTTCTTTTTACAGATAGGAAAACAGGTTCCCAGAAGGCGTGTGACTTGTCAAAGACCTGAGAATTAGAGGCAGAAAAGCAGAACTTGACCCTCCGCACAATTAAGATGCTCTCTCTGTGGGTGCCTAAATGTCTTTAAATCCTGCTAGTGGTTAGTGTGGGGATAACTGTCTTCTCCGTTCCAGTTGCTCTCTTTTGTCTCTCTCTGTGATTGGTTTCTTGGGCCCTGCTTGACCCTCTCCTCATCCCTTTTGTTTTCCTTTGGTAGGAGGAGATGGACCTGAAGGTTCTGCAGTTCAAGAACAAGAAACTAGCAGAGCGGTTGGAACAGCGACAAGCTTGTGAAGATGAACTCCGAGAACGAATTGAGAAGCTGGAGAAGCGGCAGGCCACAGATGATGCCACACTCCTCATTGTCAATCGCTACTGGGCCCAGGTGGATGCCCCTCTGCTTTCCAAGACCTGGCCTTGATCCAGCTGCCAGTCCTCAGACTACTCTGCTGGGAAAGGAGTATCATGCTGGGAAGCACCTGAGGGATTCATAACATTTTTGGTGCTTTCTCCCTTCAGCTGGATGAAACTGTGGAAGCCCTTCTCCGACACCATGAGAGCCAGGGGGAGCTGTCTGGAGGGACAGAGTCGCCTGGAACCCAGGAGGGGCCGACACGTGATGAGACCCCTCTCACAGAGCCAGGGACATCGGACCTGAGGGGTAGGGCCAGAGCCCTAGGATCTGGGGAGCTTAATTAAGTCCTGGGAATGGTCCTGGTGAAGAGGGAACTTTTATATTAGTCTCCTGAGTTCCCCACCACCCTTCACACAGATACACACTTTGACTTCATGTTTGAATAGCAAAAAGTAGTGGTTAAGGACTCAGGCCCCAGGCTTTGGAATCTGAGTGACTTGGTTCATAGTGCATGTCAGGTTTGACACTCATTTAATTCAGAAAATATTAATACCGAGTGATAATTGTGAATTCATACTGTAACAGCCTTAGATGAGACAAAGATAAGCCAAAAAAGAAATATTGCCTTTGCCATCGGGGAGGAAGTGATTGTAAACCACAAGTAAAAAGAATAGGAGCCCATGAAAGGGAATTAGTGTATGTGCACTTGTGTGTGGGTCTCGTTGAGATTGCGAAGGCAGAGGCGGCTTCCCTGAGGAATGATTTGGAAGCTCCGTGACCTTGAAATTACTTTAGTTTCCTGAGCCTCTGTAGTTTCACTTTGATGATGGGGACACCAGTGTATTAACGGGCACGGCGTGTGTTGAATCAGTGAGCCACAGGGTGTCAGAGGGCTCAGTCTGGAACTTGGTATGGAGTGGCGGTAACTGCTGCTCTTAACCTCATGAGATCCTCATGAGGGTCTGTCCACCCCCCCCCACAGAGCCCCTGCCCGTGCAGCTGCGGCCCCCGCTCAGTGAGCCAGCTTTGGCTTTTGTGGTAGCGTTGGGCGCCAGCAGTAGTGAGGAGGTGGAGTTGCAGCTGCAGGGCCGGATGGAGTTCTCCAAGGCAGCCGTGTCCCGCGTCGTAGAGGCCTCAGACCGCCTGCAGCGCCGGGTGGAGGAACTCTGTCAGCGAGTATACAGCCGAGGTTAGTTCTCTGTGTCCCACCGCAGAGGTATCTGTCCCCGTTTCTGTCCTGGTTGTGTCCCCTCAATGCCCGAGTCCAGGGGCAGCCAAATTCTCTAGGGAATAAATTAGCCGCGTTCTTGGGAAAGTGGTAGTTAGTAGATGGGGCTCTGCCTTTGGTTCATGGGGTTGAGCTCTAGAGAGCCAGGGGGGAGGAGTTGTTGCTTCTGGGGCCACTGCCTTCCAGCTGGAGACCTCTTTGGAACGCTTTGCACAGATTTTAGTTGCAGTTGCTGACCCACAAGGCGTAGTAGCAAGTGTCCAGGCTTTGCAGGCTGACAGGCTCTCCCAGCCCTAGTCCTGTCATTCTGGGCAGATGGTTCTCCTCTCTGAGCTGGTTTCCTCCTTTGTGCAGTGGAGATAAAAGACTCCGGGCTTTGTCATGAGAAATTGGCAAGACAGCTGGTGGATCACACTGGGCACATAGCAGACTCCAGAATGAGTTAGTACTTTGCCCCATGGCCCTGGATTTGGCTCTTACCTGAGCCCTGCCTTCTCAGGGGACAGTGAGCCCCCCGGTGAGGTGGCTCGGGCACGCACCCGGGAGCTGGGTCGTGAGAACCGGCGGCTGCAGGACTTGGCCACCCAGCTACAAGAGAAGCACCACCGCATCTCGTTGGAGGTGGGATTAAAACCAGGGCAGGGTTTGGATTAGACGCATACGAAGGCTCTCAGGGACCCAAGTTCCCTGCTCTAAGCATCTGACCCTGTTATTGTCTCCAGTACTCTGAGCTCCAGGATAAAGTGACATCAGCAGAGACCAAGGTGCTGGAGATGGAGACGACAGTGGAGGACCTGCAGTGGGACATTGAGAAGCTGCGCAAGCGTGAGCAGAAGCTCAATAAGCACCTGGCGGAAGCCTTAGAGCAGGTGGGGCTTGGGTGCTGGGTCAGACGGAGCCACGGCTAGGCACTTGGAGCCCTTGCTTCTTTCCTCCACCCCCATGGGTCTGTCTCTCCACAGCTCAACTCTGGCTACTATGTGTCTGGGAGCAGCTCCGGCTTCCAGGGGGGCCAGATCACACTCAGCATGCAGAAGGTGAGTAGGCACCATTCTTCCAGTCCCTCCCGCAACCTTTTCTCTGCCCCACCCATGAAAGTCCCCTCCAAATTTAGGACAGATACCTGCATGCTCTGAGTCCCTTCCCTGTCATTCATGCTGCTCTGTTTTATTCATTGATTTGTGTATTTAGTAAGTGATTGTTAACATTAAATCCTAGGCATGGTGCTTAGAAGCAGGCACATGCGAGGACAAAAGAGACAAAAAGCAAAGCTTTCATGGAACTTGGGTTCTAGTTGGGGGAATAAACAAGAAGTAAGATAGTTCATCAGGTGGTTAAAGGTGCCCCAAAGGAAAAGCATAGGAAAGAGACAAACGAGGGCACTTGGGTGCCTTATTAGGTTAAGTGCGTGCCTTCGGCTCGAGTCATGATCACCAGGTCCTGGGATCGAGTCCCATATCAGGCTCCCTGCTCAGCGGAGAGTCTGCTTCTCGCTCTGTCCCTACCCTGCTCATGCACGTGCACACTGTCTCTCTCACACATGAAAGTAAAGAAATCTTCAGAAAAAGGGGAGAGGGAAATGGAAGTATGTTGGAGTTGACTGGCATTCTTAGCTGGCAGGCTGAAAGAGGTGTCTCACTGAGAGGGCTGTCTCACTTGTTCATTGAACATATTTTTTGGTCCTGTGAGGATCATTGTTTCCTGTTAAGCCTTAATTCAGGTTCCTTTTCAGGTCTTTCAAGAAGGTTTCTCTGATTCCTTGTCAGTTATGAGCCTTGGTTCCCAGCACTGATCATGTAGTGTTTTCTCCCACTTATCTGGAAGCCCTTAGGAAAATGCTTGGGTTTGGCTTCTCCCTGGGGCTTCAGAATCCATTACTGCCCACCTTGGGTGGGGATGTGAGGGAAGCATGCATCCTGGCCCGGCCCTGCCTCCCACAGCTTCTCCCATTCCACAGTTTGAGATGCTGAATGCAGAGTTGGAGGAGAACCAGGAATTGGCCAATAGCCGGATGGCAGAGCTGGAGAAGCTGCAGGCCGAACTTCAGGGGGCAGTGCGGACCAACGAGCGCCTCAAGGTGGGCTCTGTTTGGGACTGGGAGGCCTAAACCTACAAGGTAGTGGCCAGGTCCAGAATCCTGTTGCTGATCGCTCGCGGGCACCCTGGCCCTAGGTGGCCCTGCGGAGCCTTCCCGAGGAGGTGGTGCGGGAAACGGGGGAGTACCGAATGCTGCAGGCCCAGTTCTCGCTGCTCTACAACGAGTCTCTGCAAGTGAAGACGCAGCTTGATGAGGCCCGGGGGCTGCTGCTGGCTACCAAGAATTCCCACCTGAGACATATTGAGCACATGGAG